CTACTGAATGGGAGAAGATATTTGTGAGTGGTGCATTCAAAAGGGGGGTAATATAAAAAATACAGGGTCTGGCACATATAATGCCTCTATTATTACAAAGGTTTTTTTTTTTTTTTACAGATTTTTTAGAAGATATTTATTTTTAGAGAGAGGGGAAAGGAAGGAGAAAGAGGGAGAGAAACATCAATGTGTGGTTGCCTCTTGCACGTCCCCCAACGGGGGACCTGGCCTACAACCCAGTCATGTGCCCTGACTGGGAATGGAACCAGCAACCCTTTGGTTTGCAGGCTGGTTGCTCAATCCACTGGGCTACACCAGCCAGGGCTACAAAGTCTGTAATTACAAATTCATAAGCATGTAATTCTGTAGCATAATATCACGCTGGTGATATGGTGCACCATATGACATTTTAGGTGAAATGTTCAAAATTAAAGCTATAAATTATTACACCCACATTATTACCCTACCAACTACACTCAAAAGCAGGCATTACTTCTGCCAGACTCTATATATAAGGAAATGATACAACTGAACACCAAGAAAACTCCCTCAAACAACACAATTGAAAAAAAAATGGGTAAAGGGCCTGCAGAGACATTTCTCCAAAGGACATACAGAAGGTCCATAGACATGAAAAGATGCTCAATATCACTGATCAGAGAAATGCAAATCAAAACCACAATGAGATACCAGTTCATACCTGTCAGAATGGCTATTGTCAATAAATGAACAAACAACGAGTTTTGCTGAGAATATGGAGAAAAAGAAATCCTAACATGTTGGTGGGAATGTAGATTGGTGCAGCCCTATGGAAAACAGTATGGAGGTTTTTTTCAAAAATCACCTCCATATGACCCAGCAATTCCATTTTGAGGTATTTGTCTGAAGAAATTGAAAACAGTAGTTTGAAGAGATTTATGCACTCCTATGTTCATTTCAGTGCTATTTATAATAGTCAAGCTATGGAAGCAACCTAAGAGTCTATTGGTAGAAGAATGGTAAAGCAGTGTGATATATATGTGTGTGTGTGTATATATATATATATATATATATACACACACACACACACACACAATGGAATATTACCCATAAAAAAACAGTGAAATCTTGCCATTTGTGACAACATGGATGGACTTAGAGGGTATTTTGCTAAGTGAAAGAAGTCATACAGAGAAAGACAAATACCATATTTCACTTATATGTGTGATCTAAAAAAATAAACAAAACAGAAACAAACTCATCGATTCAGAGAATTGGTGATTGCCAGATTAGAGCAGGTATTGAGGGAATGGGTGAAAACATGAAAGGATTAAGAAGTACAAATTGTCTGTTATAAACACAGTCATGGGGATGAAAAGTGCAGCATAGGGAATGTAATTGATAATATTGTAATAACTATGTGTAGTGTCTGAATGGTGCTAGATTTTTGAATTGATCACTTTGTACGTTATATAAATGTCTGATCACTGTTTTACACCTGAAACTAATATGCACGTCTGCTGTAGTTGAAAAGTAAAAAAAAAAAAAAAAAAAGAAAGAAAGAAAGAAAAAAATATGGCCTGCAGAGAAATGGGAAGCCAGCTTTGAGAGGTGGCATGGAATGCCCAGTGAAGCATAGTTTTAATGTCAGCTGTCTTGTCAGCTGACAAGTGTCAGCTGTCTTGTCTATATGGATAAGTATGTAACCTGTGAGTAGATTTTTCTCATGGGAGGTGATACAAGGTGACTCATTAACCATTGTCCTCGGGCAGTTTTGACAGCATCATTTATTTGAGCTGCTCCTCTTCATTATCTCTTGGTATGCATGGGAGTGTTCAGATAAATTTAAGATACAATATTTGAAGAACCCAGATGTTATGAGGATAAAACTTTCAGTGTTTTAAGAACAAAATATTGATCTTTTTATACCGTACTCAAATATCGAAAGCTATGTCACTGTGGACCAGCAGTGTGTCTGAAGAAAAGAAAGAGCACCCACATGGAACTCACCTGAGCCGGGGGTATGAATCTGAGTTGTTGACTTGTGTCAGATCTGAGTTGTTGACTTGTGTCAGAACTGGGAGCTTAGTGGGTTCTGGGAAAGACTATGGTTAAGTTTGCGTCCATTCAGGACCCACCACCGTGACCTGTGTGTACAGTTCAGGGAAACGTCTGTGCGTGGCGATGTGAGCCCAGGGAGCCACAACATGGAGCAGGAGCCCGTGGGCACCTGTGACCTGTGCTGGGGGGCTGGGTCCGCACTGGCGTCAGTGCAGGGTAAACAGGCACCCGGGCCTCTTTTCCAGCAGGGACGTCAAGGGCAGTCAGAAGCCACATCTAGCTTTTGGGAGAAAAAGTGATTCTCTTTCAACCGAATCTGTTTCTGGGATTAACAGTCTCTATGGGAAACTAGTAGAAGCTGCTTGGATGCCTACATTCAGGAACCCTTCTCAGTCTTCCAAGTACATCAGCTTAACTTCTGATTCCATCGTCACATCCTTTTCTCAGGAGGACTTGTCCTGTATTTTTTTTTGTTAAGTATTTTATTGTTTATGCTATTACAGTTTTCCCAATATTTCCCCCTTTGCCCTCCTCTACATAGCCCACCCCCCATCTCATCATCAACCCCCACACCATTGTCTATGTCCATGGTTCATAAACGTTTTTTGGCCAATCCCTTCACCTTCTTTCAACTAGTCCCCACCTCTTACAGCTGAGGTGGGGACTAGTTGAAGTCTCCTCTCCCCCCTCTTACAGCTGTCAGTCTGTTTCATGTTTCTATGCCTCTAGCTCTATTTTGCTCATTAGTTTATTTTGTTCATTACATTCCACTTGAGATCATTTGGTACTTGTTTTTCACCAACTGACTTATTTCACTTAGCGTAATAGTCTCCAGTTCCATTCAGACTGTCACAAAAGGTAAGAATTCCTTCTTTTTTTACTGCTGCATAGTAAGTTGTGATACCATAAAAATTTTAGAGGATAACATAGGCAGTAAAATTTCAGATATCTCATGTAGCAATATTTTTGCCAATAAATCTAGGGCAAGGAAATTAAAGGAAAAATAAACAAATGTAACTACATCACACTAAAAAGCTTCTGCACAGCTACAGAAACCATCATCAAAATGAAAAGGGAACTGACTGTGTGGGAGAACATATTTGACAATGATGCATTGGACAAGGGTGTAATTTCCAAAATATATAAAGAACTTATACAACTCAATACTAGGAAGACAATCTTATTTTAAAGAGTGGCCAAAGGACCTGAATAAGCACTTCAAGGAGGACATACAGAGGGCCCAGAGACACATAAAAAGATGCTCATCAACACTAGCTATCAGAGAGATCCAAATTAAAACCACAATGAGATATCACCTCACACCAGCCAAAACAGCTGTCATCAGTAAATGAAAAACAACAAGTGCTGGTGAAGATGTGGAGAAAAGGGAACCCTAGTGCACTGTTGATGGGAATGCAGACAGGTGCAGCCACTGTGGAAAACAGTGTGGAGTTTCCTTAAAAAACTAAAAATGGAACTGGCTTTGATCCAGTGATTCCACTGCTGAAATATATCCTAAGAATCCCAAGTCACCAATTGAAAAGAATCTATGCACCACTGTGTTCATTGCAGCACTATTGATAATGGCCAAGATTTGGAAACAGCCCAAGTGCCTGTCAGTAAATGAGTGGATTAAAAAAAACAAAAAACTGTGGTACATTTACACAGTGGAATTGTCCCATATGCTTCTCGTAAGGGGATTATACCAGGCCCACCTAATAATCCACAGTGATCTTTCCTTTTTAAGATCCTATACTTGTTGCATCTGCAAAGTCCCTTATGTCATAAAAGGACATATATCCACATGTTCTGAGGATTAGTGTGTGAATATCATTAAAGGGGCATTATCCAACCTACCACAATATCTGTATAGTGGCCAATAGAATATAAGAGAATAACAACAATAAAAGTTTGTTGAACATCAAAAAAAAAATACTGTTAGTCCTGTACTTGTTTTCCATTCCTAAGGGATGGGACGGTGGCTTTGCCTTTTTGTCCATCCTAGTTTAATGCTTTGATACATTCTAAACAGTAAAACTTCATTGAAAGAAGGAAAGGTGAAGATATGTTTGCTTCTGTTAGAGATCTTGGCTATTTTGTAGACATTTTCAGGGAGGCCTTTCTCATGCCAAAAGGTGGGGAAATTTAGGGGGGATCTGTGAGTTATCTGATTCTAATCCTAACCTTGTGATCACAGAAGCTGAGGAATGATACATAAATCGACTGTGGGATTTTCCTCCCCTTTTAACATTATTTTCCTTTGGTCTTCAAAAAGCATTAGAGAAAGTATAAGTTGAACCTTTTTCCAAGTGGATATGGGACAGTTACACAGATGCAACCTGCTTCTAATTTCTTGCATTTATTGATATGTCCAGTATTTATTGAGTGTCTACATTGTACCCACTGTGCTGAATACCACATTTAACATAAAAAGTCCACGACCTTAAAGTAAAACTTGTTTCTTATTAGTTTGGATGAAAGTTATTTTTAGAGCTAAGGAGTAAGTTCTCAAAATTTGTATTCTCTTGGCCCCTAATACACCCAAGAACGCTTGAGTAGATAGAGCACATCGGTGAGAGTGTCGGTTGCATTTGTGTGTGGGGAACACAGTGCAGTGTTTAAATTTGGTCCTGTGCTTCCTTGTACATTGACTATTGGGGGTTCTGGCCTTTGTGGGGTTCGTTCTCTTGGTCTTGTTCCATTGACAGGACATCATACTGCATGTCTATCTGCAGAATGGCTGCTGGGTTTGCTGTGCCTGGTTTTGTGGTTTCGGTCCCACTCCCCCACCAAAGGCAGTGTCTGTAGAGTGGACCAGGGCAAGCCTGAGTTCAAACACGCCCACTTCTCTGGAAGCAGAGCCTTCCATCTCCAGCTATAGATGATGCAGTTGTGTTCATGTGGCGTTTCCCGTTGGTGTCCTTGTTTGAAATATAACTTTTGTGTGTTTTTACTCCTAGGTCCATGTACTTTTATTTACACATCGTAAGTCTCCTGATAATACTATTTTTGCCAATGAGACCACAATCTTCTGTTCAACGGCAGCCTCAGAACTCTGTTAATAAGAAAAAAACAGATTGATATCTCCGAGAAAAGCTGGATACGGAAAACTGCAAAACTTTGGAAAGAGGAGATGAAAAGGCTCAAGTGTTCTTCAGTGACTTAGAGGCCATGTTTACATGCATTTTTAAAAATAAAAGTGCAGGGAGTATTTTTGTAAAGCCCTTTTGTACCAGTAAATCAGCCATGTCCAGTTGATCTGTTTTAGTGTTTTCTAGGACATTTGAGTGGTATGGAGGTGTGTGGGGAACCTGCCAGAGTTGCAGGAACAGCGCATCTGGGCTGCTGGGTCTCTGCTTCCCCAACAGGGATTCCAGCCACTGAAATGTGGATGCTGCGACCCAGACATCTGCTCTAGAAGTTAGAAGGTGGTTGCTGAGGAGACTTGTCATAGGTTTCTTAAACTAGAACATACCCACACATGGTTGTTCCTCGGGAAGCCCCAGATCCTTTGACCTGTGACATTACTATTTCAAACACAGTGACCCCATCAGAAGACCAGGAGGAGCAGGGACTGGGGGGGTATTTTTCAGGGTACTGAACGCTGCGAGCCAGGAGGACTAGCCGTGAACACTTGAATGAACTGAAAGCCAGCCATGCCCTACGGTAGGCTGCCCTTTTTCCAGAATGCATCTCTTCCCTTTTTTCTTCTGAACTGAGCCAAGATTGTAAATCAGAAAGTCTCCTGTGCTCGTACACCGGGAGTCTGAGCGGGGCTGCTGTTTTCCAGATGTTTTTCCATTTCACATGCGCCATCTGCTTGCCCAGGACAGGCCTGAGAAAACACCCTAGAGGTCGCACCATCAGAGGCAGAAGAATGTCTTCTAAAGAAACAATTTTAAAGTAATTTAAAGTTATATAGAAGTTGACAAGAAATTATGCTCTTTTCTTCCCTTTTATAGCGATGTTAATATTCATGGCTATGATGGGCTGACTTATTTTTCCAGTCTCAGAGCTGATTAATTCTGACTTTGTATTAGTTGAACTATCATATTGAAAGGCAAAAACTGAAAGACAGTTTTCTAGCTTTGTTATGAACATGCTGTGGCTCCTATTGGTTAATACTCTATGTGGGGAGAGGAAACATGGTATTAAATGTTCTGGAAAATAATGAGAATGATAATAATAAATTATATGCTACAGTGGTGTGCCCTCAGTCACATACCTTGGGAGAAGCAAATTTGTTCAAATCAGATGTTTGAAAGTGAGTTTCTTACTGAATAAAAACTGTTTCTATATAAAAGAAATATTTCTGAATAGAAGAATTGCTTTTTGTTTATATCAGTAGAGACTGGATAGTCTGAAGTATGTGCTTGTTTTAACAAATGTGCACAGACTTAAGGTTTTACTTGTTGAAAGCCTGAGCAGTATAGCATGTTCAATTTGTCCTCTACGTCAGGCACTTGGATGGTTTTGTTTTTGGTGTGCTTTCCGACCTTCATTCCCAGCCTCCCAGATCATGCACTCCTGTTTTACAGGGACGTGTTTTCTGGCTGCATCCCTGGTTAGACTTAGAGGTAGAGCTGAAATCCAAAATCCATGGCTACCCTGAGAAAGCCATAGGCTGTGCTAAGTGTCCAGCTGATGCTTCTCTTAGGTCAGTGAAATGTGAAACAATGTGTTTATCTCTAACCTGAACTCTAATTCTTATGTGAAATAGTGACAATTGGCCCAAAGTAGCCCAAAGTAGCACATTTGGGCCAGAGTATAAGGCTTACCCCAATTTTACCAGGAATTCTTCGGGCAACCCTGTTTTGCTGTCCCAGGAGGAATATTAGATAGTAGGTATAGAGGGGGGGCATGCAGGTGCCCAAAGTGTGTCAGGGTCTGTCTCCAACAGGAATATTTTGAGGCATAAGATCAGAAATACATATCTTGTACACCAGCAAAAATAGTAGATATGCCCATTGGCATAAAGTGTATGGCATTATCCATATCACAACACAGTGTTTGGACTTGCAGTATGGTTTAATGACCAGGTTTCACTGTATGGAACCAGCTTCAATCCTGGGAGAAGAACTTTGGTAGAGAGAGTAGAGGTGACCACTAGAGGGACCAGTCATCTTGTTTTGCCAGGGACTCTGCTGAACCCTCAGACCCGGGAAGACTGGGGACCTTTGGTCCCCCTAGTGACCACCCACAATCAGATAATCTGTATGGAATGGAGTCGAAGACACGTCTCTGGAATCTGGGCTTATCGATGTCAGACGTAGTGCTGGGCCTAAGCACATGGGCATGTTTTTCTTATCGTGAGGCTTTACTCAATACTGACGGGAGCACCTTTCCCTCCTGAGGACATTTACCCACAGAAGTACCCAAGTTTAGATGGAAGGTTAGGACTGTTTCTAAGCATGAGATCTAAGTTGTACTAAATGTAATATTCATTTAATAAATATATATTTATTAAATCGATGAGATGTTGGTTTAAAGGAAATACAGTTTATGGTTTTTGTGTTTGAAAAAGCCAAATTTAAAATATTCTATTTTAGTGTTTTTTATTTTTTTACTGGTTAAGGTAACCATAAGGAACAGAAACATTATTTGGTAGATGCAAAAAGCAATACATAATTTAGTCTGAGGTTTTGACTGGGAGGTAGAATGAGAGTGGGTGGGTGGTCTCCAGAACTAGGGTGCAGGCTCTGGGTGGTCAGCAATGGCCCTACTGGGCAGCAGCCCTTCTCCACCCCAGGTGCACATTAGGACCACAAAGGAAAAATTTTTATTGACTCATGCCAGCCTTTTGAAGGATCACATCTTATTTCTCTTCTTGTCTGTAGCTCTTGGCACAGTGCCTGGCATGTAATGAAGATTTAGGAAGTATTTGTTGAATGAATGAGGGATGAAATGAATTAGTTTAATGCATCATTGTACTTGACAGTTGTGATGGAGTCATTTTTGCCCTGGGAATCTTCTGCTTTTCAGAATTAGATTTTGAAAGAAAGGCTTGTGTTTTGAAAGCACATTATGTGAAATAACCACTCAGGCAGTCAGTTCACGTGCTCTGAACTGCACTGGTCTGTCCAACCATTAAGTAACACTTCACTTATCTGTCCGATGTTGTCATGTCTGTGGGTAGGCCTGGCACTCTGTTACACAGTGCAGGTAAAAGATAACAAAGACACATTCTGTGCCATCGAAGTGCTCAGTGTCATCACTAAGATGATCCAGACTGTGCTGTAGGAATGCCCAGGAGTACCCTGGCATCAGAATTACACAGTAATTGGGTGGCATATCCTCATTTTCCTGTAAGTTTGAAAATCTCTCATTTCACGGTGTCAGCAGGTTACTCAGGAGAGCATCATCATAGCTCTCCAGCCTCCTGTCCAGGACTCATGTCCAATAGTTTTAGAGCTAAGCCTACCCTTGTCCTGAAATTGGATGCTGACTTTGCAACATATCAGTACCAGTTAATGCCCAAAGGTGCAAGCTGTGTTTTCATGGGTGGCCTATAGAGGTAGTCAGGGAGCTAGTTCTCCCTCCAGAAGGATCTGTAGTGAAGGTTCCAAGCTCAGTGAATGACTTCGTGAGGCGCATAGGTATTTTTAGGAGAAGGCCCAGCCCACGCAAACTTTGTCTATCTTCCTAAACTTATGGAAGGGTACCTACCAGATACTAAGGCAAAGAAAACTAGCCGTCATTGACAGTGCTTTCATGTCTAACCAAATACAGTCAGTGAACTTGGTACTACTATCCATTTTCATGCAAATGTGGAAGCCAGGGCTCAGAGGCTTTAACTTTCCCAAGGTCACCAGCTAGCCAGTGGTGGAACTGGGGTTTGAATCTTGGTCTGGCAAACTCCGAAATCCATCTCATTGCCTTTTGTTTTCAGGGAGACAAGGAGTTTTACTCCCTTTGTCCCACACACAGACTGGCTGGCCCCGTCACTTGGGGAGCCTGTTGAAGATGCATGGAGTGGGGAGAGAGATCTGCTATTGAAAATGCTGACGGCTACTATGTCCGTCCCATAAGGGCAGCAGAAGTCCTGTCAATAGAGGGCATTGGTAACCTTGTTCTTACTCTACCCAATGAGGAGGGAAAACATGGGATGGGAGCTAAGCTAAATTTTTGAATCTGTTCAGAGGGAGGTATTTAGAAGCTGTTGTCAGTGCTTGCACTCCTAGAAGACCTTTTGTATAACATGATGTACAGGAGCACACTTTGACATATGCAAAGGTCAGGCTAGACTGTAAGTACTTGTTTGTGTCAGGGGGCCAAATTGATTTGCTAGGGAAATGAGTGGAACCTTTGGGGAACTGGGCATACCTACTCAGGAGACAGCAGAAATTGATGGCCTGAGGAGAAGGTTAATTCCCAGAAAGTGGACTGGTCAGAATGATTTCTAAGAATAGAAAGATGTAGAGTGCTGTAGGGAGACTTTTGGTCAAGAAGGGAGAGTAGGTAAGCTGTGCTTGCCCCTCACATGATCATGTCACAGTTACACTAAGTTATAGAAAAACCATCATTGAGAACCACTTGAAGACTAGCAGAAGTCCTATAATTAAGGATATCAAGAAGACATGAAGGAAACTGATAGGAGTGGCGAGATGCACAAGAGGCTGGCCCCACACCCACAGTGTGGTAATTAAGAATCTGAAGGACTATTTCACCTGTGGAGGACTCCCCAAAGAGTGATGGGTACCAGCTATACACTAGGGTCCCCAGCCTGGCGCACTAGGACTGGGAAAAGTCCCTGAAACATTTGGCTGTGGAAACCCATGAGGATAGCAATTGAGTGAGATGGAGGGCTACTAGAGTCCTGGGTATTTGTCTTGAGGGGCCCTCACATGGATTTGCATGCTCAGAGCTCACTCACTCTGGGTGCCGGTGCAGGGGCAGCAGCTCGAAAAGTGACAGGAACATAAAGGGAGGAACTGAATTGTCTAGCTTCAGGGTGAGGACTGGAGCTGGCGGAGCAGCTGCCTCCAGACAGAGATGTCAGGAGGCATGTTTCTTTGTTGATCTCTCCCCCTACTCAGTCTTACAGAAGAAGGAGGGCACCAAACCTGTGATTTCTATTAACCCAGCTAGTAGTTCACCTTGACCTGGTGAACTACTGCAGCATCCAACTCATTCACTGACCCAAGCCACTTCCAATGGCTTTTGCACACAGCCTGCCTGGGCTTCCTCTGTGGACTCCCCTAAAACCTCTCAAAGTCCCACACACCCCAAACAAGCAGTGGCTGGCCTCATTGTGGCCTATGCCTTTTACTAAGTGGCCCTAAGCCAGCTCAGGCAGTGACTGGTCTTAATTTGCATTGTAAATTCCATCACATAGGCCCACACCTATCATAAGCTATGGCCAGTGTTGGCTTAGAACATAGCTTCAACTGAGTGGCCACAAGCCTGGCACAAGTGGCACTTGTCTCAGCTCACGTTGTGGTGCCCACCAAGGGTCCCAAGTACAGCACTACTAGTGGCAGCTGGACTTGATTCTCAGCATAGCCTCTCCCAAGTGCCTCTAAGTCCAGCACAAGTGGCAGCCAACTGTAAATCACTTTGTAGCTCCAACCAGGCCACCCCAAGTGGAGCAAAAATGGTGGCCAACTTTCCTTTGCACTAGAGCCCCTTTAAAGAGTCTCCAGAATCAACACATCAGGTGGCCTGCTTCAGACCACACTAGAGAACCACCCAATAAGCACTACAAATGACACACAGGAAGGGTGGACTCCACTGGCACTAAAGCCCCACTAAAGTGACTCCTACTCTGTGGGGTCAAGCCCCACAAACAGCTTATCCACTAGGCCAGCCTTCAGCCAGTCAGTCTAAGGGCCAGTCCCACCACTGATGTGCCAACAGACATCAAGGCTTTGCTACAAAGAAGTCACATACAACCGACACAAGGGATACTGCTGCAGCACCTGGCTTAGGTGACCAGGGACATAGCTCCACTTGGTCTCATAGGATACCTGCTACGTAAGGTCACTCAGCCAAGACTGGCAGATGTAGCTCAGGTACCTAACACAGAGAAACAATTACAGGGAGTGAGCCACAATGAGGAAACAAATTCACCTTTCTCAAATAAAAGAATGAAAAACTCCAGAAAAAAGCAAGCAATTATATATAGAGTTCAAAACAGTGGTTATAAGAATAGTTAATACACTTTGTTAGAACTTCAACAATGCAATAGAAAACATAAAAAATAAAACATTTTTAAAAATCCAGTCAGAATTGAAGACTACAACAGCTGAAATAAAGAATACATTTGAAGGAAGCAGATTAGATGGAGCAGAGAGTTGAATCAGGAATCTGGAAAACAAGGGAGCAGGAAACACCCAACTGAGATAGCAAAAAGAAAAAAAATTAAAAAATGAAGAGTTAAAGGGGCCTCTGAGACATCAAACATACCAACATCTACATCACAGGGGTACCAGAAGGAGGAGAGAGAGAGAGAACAAGGACTGAAAACCTATATGAAGAAATAAAGAAAACATTCCTAACTTGGTGAAGGAAATAGACATACAAGTTCAGGAATTGTGGAGACCCAAACAAGATGAAGGCATAGAAGCCCACTCCAAGAAACATCAGTGGTGGGTTTATTGAGACTCTATACAAATAGAGTCTCAATAAATTATACAAAAGATCAGTGAATCCAAAAGCTGGTTTATTAAAAGGATAATCAAAATCGATAAACCTTTAACCTAACTTGTCAAGGAAAAAAAAAAAAGAAGGCCCAAATAAATCAGAAATGAAAGAGTAGTAACACCACCAAGAACTACAAAAAAATTGTAAGAAAATATTATGAACTATCTGCCAACAAATTGGACAATCTAGATAAAATGGTACATTACTAGAAATATACAATTTTCCAAAACTAAATAAGGAAGAGTCAGAGAATCTGAATAGACAGATTAGATCTAGCATAGTTAAAACAGTAATCAAAACACTCCCCAAAACAAAAGCCCTGGAATGAATGGCTTCACAGGTAAATTTTACCAAATATTCTGGGAAGAAATAACACCTCTCCTTCTCAAACTATTCCAAAATATTCAAGAGGAGGGATGACTCCCAAGCTCAATTTTACACGGTCAGCATTATCTTTATTCCAAAACCAAATAAAGACGCTACAAATAAAATTATAGGCCAATATCCCTGATGAACATAGATGCTAAAATCCTCAACAAAATATTAGCAAACTGAATACAGCAATACATCAGAAAGATTATACACCATGATCAAGATGGATTTATTCTGGGGATGTAAGTTTGGTACAATATTCACAAATCAGTAAATGTGATACACCACATAAAAATGAATGATAAAAACCACGTGATTATATCAATAGGTACCAAAAAAAGCATTTGATAAAATGTAGCACCCATTTATGATAAAAACTCCAGGCACAGTGAAATAGAGGGACAATACCTAAAGGACATATATGACAAGTCCACCACCAGCATCATACTGAATG